AATTGACTCGATTGAATTTAATACCACTGAGATAGTTTTGACTCCTTTGATTACCCAAGGTCTTCATATTTTTCTTACATCTTTGGGTCTCATTGGTCAGTGACAGACAATCATAATATTAGAGTTATAAGGGACCTCAGACACCACTTACTATATGAATTACCTTAGAAGCTCTTTGTGGTTTTTGTTTGTGTGTGTGTGTGTGTGTGTGCGTGTGGTTTTGTTTTGTTTGTTTTTTGTTTTTGTTTTTATCAACAAAGCTTCACAGGCTCCACCTCCAGGAATCTGCGCCAATGGATCTGAATTCATTCAAATATTTGGGGATCACTGACCCAATCTACCACTTTTGTTTTGTTTATATTTTTTAGTAGAGAAAATAGAAACACAGATCCATGAGGGAATGTTTCCAAAGACACAGTGAGTTGAAGGCAAAGATGAGCTCTCAGATCAATGACATCATGAAGGTAGAAAGGGTCCCTAGATCAAAGGTACTCCTACCATATCTGGTACTACAGTCTAGGGCAGTGATGGCGAACCTTTTGAGCTCGGTGTGTCGGCATTTTGAAAAACCCTAACTTAACTCTGGTGCCGTGTCACATATAGAAATGTTTTGATATTTGCAACCATAGTAAAACAAAGACTTATATTTTTGATATTTATTTTATATATTTAAATGCCATTTAACAAAGACAAATCAACCAAAAAAATGAGTTCGCGTGTCAGAGGTTCGCCATCACTGGTCTAGGGTCTCATTTGTGAGAGTTGAATTAAAAAAAAAAATCAGTAAGTGGAAAAACTATCGTGGCTTTATTAAGTTCTTTGTTTGTTTATTGGCCTTTGGGCAGGGTAAGACACAAAAGTAAAAGAAAATGGCATAGTGAGAAAAAAGACAGGATTTTAATTTACATCTGTTCTGTAAAGACCTGAGAATAGGTGGGGTTTTTTTTTAATCTTTCTAAATTGGTAAGAGGACTGAACTCTTCAATGTATAAACATTAGTGAATGGAGGGTATCTGATAAGCAACATTTCATATAAACTTGGATCCCATAAGAAGGGAAGAGAGTTGCCAGGAACCCTGGTTTTTCTAGAGCCCACAGGCTGGATTCCCTGTGACTGGCAGTTTAACTGTAATCTTATATGGGGTCATAGGATATTACTGCGCCCACCAATTCCCACGAGGGCTTGCTACATCATTGTTCAGGAGTTACTCAGCTTTTGTTACTGTACCAATAAAAGGATAAGGCTAAGCCGCAGTCTGACTCACAACAGAAGTCATAACAGGAGCACCAGGAATTGTGGATTAGTTCAATGAGTATTCTAGTTCAGCATCCAGCTGAGCTCAAACTTGAGGGGAAAATGCTTCCATGAGGCCCAGTGGCTGGCCTGCAGACCCAGTGGTTGGAGTAATCTTGTCTTCTGTCTGGAACACTGTCATTCTGGAAACAATTAGTTATAGTGACTAATAACAAGGACTTTACCCTGTTATGTCATCAATACTTAAAATAAGACCCAGTTTATGTCAGTTGTCAGTTCCTATGAAGTGAGTTCATATTCACTTCAAAACTCTGTAGTAAGACTGCTCTGATTCATTCCTAAGAAGACATGTTGCTTCAGAGGGAAAAGATAAATGTTTGTTTAAACCTAAATCACACCTGACTTTGCAACAATACTAAGTCACCCCTGCATTACTTCACTCATTCACTCAGTCATGCTCAAATTACACCTCTGAATCCCTGACGGAAATCAACTGATAGAAATAAACGTTTTTAACTGGCCAAAGAAAATTCCTCATGGCCCCTAAAATCAGTGAAAAGGGAAGGCGTGCAGGAAGGGTAGGAGAACTTGTGACAGCAATACGCAATGCATCTGAAAGAGTCACGCCCGGCAATTTACAACCTTCCTGTGAAGCTTGTCAGGAAGCACAAGACCATCAGCTGACCAGGGTTTGCTGCTTCTCTCTGCTCAGTTCATTTAACCTGTCCAACAGCTACATTTTCTAGGTAGTATCAGAGCAGAAAGGTTTTCACACAGTGTTTCTAAGTGAAGAACACATGAGAAAACTCTCTCCCCACTTCTACAACTTGCTTCAGACTTTAATAGCCCTTTACTAAAATCTTCAGAATTCTTTGGTCTGTTGCCTTTACACATCTCTAAATCAGTGACTATTTTTGTTTCCTAGTCAGTAATCCTAACTACTATAAATAAAGACTAGTAGTAAAATCATGTTCAGTTCATTTCTGTGAAGTAGTTCACTAGGGGAAAACAGACCCTAGTTTCCGTACTTATTTTCTTGGTAAGCAACTACAGCTCTATCTACAGCTCTTCCTTCCTTCCTTCCTTCCTTGAGGACACTTCAGTCCTGCCTTCCTCAGTACTCCTACATCCCCCTCCCTCCTCCCTCCCTCCTCCCTCCCTCCCTCCCTCTTTCTTTCTTTCTTTCTTTCTTCCTTTTCTTTCTTTTTTTCTTTCTTTCTTCTTTCTTTCTTCTTTCTTTCTTCTTTCCCCCTCCTCTCCTCCTCTCTTCCTCCTTCTTCTTCCTTCTCTCTCTCTCTCTCTCTCTCTCTCTCTCTCTCTCTCTCTCTCTCTGTAGAATAAGTTCATCCAAATTGTAGAGAAGTTGGATATTTACATGAATTAATTCTTCTACTCCTTCCAGCCTGGTGATTCCAAAACAGTACAAAGAATCTCTTCTGAATCCCTTTTCAAGATATGAAACTTAAAGCACAGTTGACTCTGAAGTGCTTTGTTTCAGTTCCTCTAGTCTAAGTGTGTGTACGGTATACTTGCAAAGGCAAGGTTATGTCAGACTTCTCCTGCCATCGGAGAAACAATGATCATAGATAAGCTTGGCAAATACTCCCACATTCTTCTTATAAACAGCCCTGTATATGTATCTAGTTTGTTGGGAAAGTTTTAAAAATCAAGTTATTAGCAGCTTTGCAAGTTGACATTTTTAAGAAAGAAGACTAGAAGCGATTATTTGAACACTGCACAATATACCTAGTATCAGATTTCAGAGTTATGAGATCTGAATTGAGTTTTAGCAAGAAATTTTTTATTGACAAACCATTTAAGATGTCTCATCAAACTCCTTAGGTTTTTGTTCATTGTTATTTTGTGAAATAAATTGAACCCCCATAGCTGTCATTTTAGAGAACAATGAGGATGGAAGTGAAGACACAGAGGACAAACTTCTTTCCTGAAATGTTTCATTCCACATAAACCATAACTGGGAAGATTAAAATGTCTCTTTCTGCACTGAACTGTGTCAGTTTTACACTGCGGCTGACTACTAGGCATCCAACATGACTCCGCTGTATTTGTGGAACCTTTCTCATCAACTCTAAATAATTGGAAAATCATTAGGGGGTGGTGGTGGAAACAAACTATAGTTAACCCCTGAATAACGCAGATGCAATAAAAAATCTGCATATAACTTAAGTCAGTCTGCCACTTGCAGAATGCCCACCGTGAACTGAAAATATTGATTTAAGATACCTAAGAGCAAAGAAGGGGTTGCAAGTCATACCTAACTGCCACCTGACTTGGACAAACAGATAACTCGTGAGCACTTTGGAGCCCGATCCTTACAGGGCAAGCTCCTGTCAATAATTCACTCTACCCTTGAGACTGGCCCAAGTCCTAAATAAATCCAGGAAACCAAATACAATACTGCACATAAATACGGTTTCAAGATTGTAGAAAAGGGAACAGAAAGTGGATGAGGTCTACAAAGTCAACTGTTCTGTCTGGAGATGAATTCCAATTAATTGACAAGTATATGTCATCACTGTAGAGAATTCTAACGAAAAATACAACACTCAGCATCAGAGAAGTAAATCTAACAAATTAAAAAAGGGAAAGAAGATAGTGGATATCTAACAAGTTAAAAAAAAGGGAAAGAAGATAGTGGATATGAACATGTTTTATTAAGTTTAAAGTGTTGTTTAAATGAAAATTGTTAAAATCCACCAAAGAATAGTAAGTTTACTGAAAGTGAGAAATTAAGTACATACCCAAAACTTGAAGTTTTGTTTAAGTAACTGGGGTGGCCCTGCATATTCTTATGGGGATGCTACCTCCTTCCCTGAATATCTATTTGGGAAATCTAGAACTGTGCGAATAAAAGAAATAGGAAATACAAAAGGTCTTGATGCTACATCTCCAAATCTCTGAAGAGGAAAAGTTATTTAAATCATCTGAACCAACTACATAGCTTAGCAGGTGAGAGTGAGACCCACAAAAGCTAGGGGATTCACCCAATATTACAAGGATCTTGGGCAGCAGAGCTGGGGATCAAGTGAAATCAGAACAGGGTTCAAGATCCAGATAAAATGAATGCTAATCCATTACACTTCCTTTCACTAAGCTGTCCTTTCTTGATAAGAAACAGATACAAATAGACAGTATAAAAGTGAAGTTCTTATCTAGCACTCAAATGTATTTTCCTAATGTACCACATTATTCATTACCTTTTCCCTCTACATATTTATCTCTTTGAGTGGACAGCATGTGACCCAATACCCATAAAATGATTTCCACACTTCTCCCTAACTCTCTAACCTACTGGGTTCTTATATTGGAGTGGACTATATACCATTTTATTAAATTTCTACTAAAGAAAGACAAAGATTTTTATATGACAGAAACTATATCCTGAAAATACATTTTAAACCAACCAATAAGTATATTTATGGCTTTCCTTACTATCGATCTACATTGTATTTTGGAATGAATGTAATTCTCAAAGGATTTCTTTCCTTTTCATTGATAGGGCAATAAAATTCTTTACAAAGAATGCTTTCATTAAGAGCTTCTAATAAAATTAATGAATTTTTCTAAAATGAATGAAATAATCAACCTAAAAAAATATAGCAAGTATGTTACTCTATTTAGATAAGCGCCATTATTAAAATAGTTCATTATAATACCATCTTGGTACACAGTGAATTAAATTAAAACTTTGCTTAGGTTTTGAAATAGAATTAAAATTTCAAACCTGCTGTTGAGTTCCGTGTGATCAGTGCCCCTTCCTACCCTGGCACGTTTTCGAATCTTTGTGCAGAAAAGTGTCTTGCAAGTCCTCCCAGCACCAGAAACAGCATCACTCACGTAACTGGCTGAATCCTGCCGGCCAGGGGGCCGGTTTGTGGTCTTCGCTGTGCCGCCACACATCTCCTGAGACGTTTAACCTCCTCCCGGTTTATCCTGACTATCAACATGGACTTGGATACAAATGTTGAAGAGCCTTTGTTGTTTGAGGGATATTCCGAAGTGACTAGCTACTCTAAATGCTCACTGCACTCCCTATACAGTAGGTGAGACAAGCTACTTGGCAGCAGCCTACAAATTCCTCTTTCGAAAGGTTTTTTTTTTTAAGGAAAAAAAAAAAAAGGAACATTCATTTGTTACGTAAATTAAGCCCACCAATGATTTAGGAAGTCAGATGCATCCATCACGTTATAAAACATGCTCTCAGCAAACTCATTATCAACAGACAAGTCCAATTCCCACTTCCTACTTTTGTTCCTAAGCTTGTGCTCCTGTTAGCAGAAGAAAAGTCCTCAACAGGTTCAGCAGCCTGGACTGACCCACTCCATCTGTGCTCCTCGGTTGGAGATTATGCAGTAGTGAAGTATTCAGTCACAAGACCTATTCATATGGCTCTGGGCAAATGCAGTGGCTTGCCTTCAGCTGCAAGGTTGTTCTGACATTGGCCACATCACCCTCTTAATGGCTCTCATGTGAGCAAGCATCAGCTGACAGGTCTTACTCTGCAACCTTGCAAAACTCTGCCCATGGCAAGTGGAAGAGATGGTTACCCACACAGACAGATGTAAGGCTTAATGTACAGGAGATGGTTTAGGGCTGGCAGAGTAGGGACACATCCTTGCTTTAATACCAAATACATACTGTAAACTAATATATAGTAATAAGTGGGAAGCCATAAACCCTCAAAACTCTTGCACTGAGTTCCTGATTCCTGAGCATATTTATGTTGAGAAAGTCCTGACTACCAGAACCAAGAACAAAAGCTTTTCAAATTTAACTTCTGACACTAACATTCCTCATCTGTAAATTGAGAATAATGTTATAAAATATGATTTTTCTACACTACTGTGAGTTCAAGGAAAAAATTAATTTTCTTTGAGAAGTAAAGCATAGGCCCCTAAAAATACAGGTCAAATCTTGATACTAAATAAATAACTAAAGGATTGTCCCAATTCCTTTCCCTCTTCCTCATCCTTGATTTTGGCTGAAGAAAATATTAACAGAGTCCTAATATCTGATGAACACTTGCCTGAGTCTTTAGTTTCAGAAGGTTTTAAATGCATCTTTACACATGGCAGCCGTATTTCACTTCACAAGTGGGAGAAAAATCTCATGATAGTGTGGTAGAGGTCTCTACTACCTTAAGACTTTATTATGTACGTGACCCTGAAGTCTTTCTATAACAAACTCCAAAAAGATCTTAAATACATCCTCCTCTGAGAAACAAAGATTACAACACACCTACAACAGCAACTGGACTGCTCTGTGGAACATGCTAAATGGATAGTGCCAAGATAAAACTACATTAGGAGAAAATGGGTTCATTTTTCCAGAAAGGAGAACACATTTTAAACTTAAAGTTTAACTGTATGGCCAGAGTGTGATCATGGGTTCTTCTTTTCCCCCCCTTGAACTGTCTTTAAAATCACTTTGTCTTTTTTAACAGAGAATCAGAAGATCACTTATGCAAATGCTCTAACTTTTCCACTTCAGGTCGGGGCAGCTCACTGAGCAAAGGCTGAAAATAAAGCCTTTCACCATCACCAGTGAAGCCCCAGGTCAGCATCTTCAATTCAGCTAGGGTGTACCTCATCTAAAAGCACAGGAGAAATAAAAGTATAGTTCAATGTTGATGGGGTGGGGGTCTTTAAAGATGCCACTAACTGAATTTTATAAAATATGTAGAGGAAACACTGGGGAACAACACCCCACATTTTATAAGACTGAATTTTCACTTAAAAACTTTAATCTCTAAAAGATATTTATCGAGGACTTGATGAAATGCCATGAAACCCTCTTTTAAAATACGTGCTCTGCATATACATTTACCTAGTAGTTAGCCACAAGCTTTTCAATAATTCTGATACTTTATATTTTACAAAGGCTTCAAAATTGTTATAAATTACAAATTTTATCCCCTAGCCAGATGATGCAAACATTTTAAATGATCAGAATCATAGGAGCGGAAAATGACAACATGGTTACAAAGGGTGTTTGGATGAAATAAAGATCAAACTGCACTGGGGAAAAAGTCCCTTAAATAGAAACCAAATGGCACAGAAAACCCGAAACCTCTTCGGTGTGTTCCCTTCACTCAGTCAGCCATCTTTACCTAAACACTTACTATGTGCCAGTCACTGTTTCTCCCGAAACTCAGCACACCTTTTAGCCACCATTTCCTTGGTAGAGTAAGGCTATAACTTCAGCATCTTTATAAACATGAATTGCTGGCCTTCTCCCCAGGGTTTCTAATTCAACACTTCTGGGGTGGAAGCTGAGGATTTACATTTCTAAGTTCCCCCGAAGCTGTTGCTGCTGGCCTGGGAACCATACGCTGGACAACCACTTCCTCAGTCACAATTCCATCTTCCCCAGGAAGCCTTCCTGGGCTGGAAGAACATCTTCTCTCTTGGATTCCTCTATAATTTTTAAGCCACACTTTCAACACAACACACAACTGCTTTGCAAAAGAGTAGTGTACATGTCTTTCGATCCTAACTAGATCATAAATTCTTTGAGTATCAAAACTGGGTCTTGACATTTCTCTTATACCTCCTACACATGGGAGATGCCCAAAAGACAACTTTCTGATTGGTTTAATGCTACTGACTATTTACATTAAAATTATGACCTGCATCGATTGCAAACAAATAGTGTGCTTCTTTGTACATAAACTCTGCCAGGAGGGTGTTTGTGCTCAAACACACACACTTTCTCTTTCTCTCATTTATTATGCGGGGGAAAAGAGTTTTGGGAATTATTTTAAGCTGGTTATTTGGCTATTTTTAAGAATAAAAAATTGCTTAAAGGATTCAGATAGAAACCCTGCTTAAAGGAAGGGAGCATCACATTAACATATTATGAATTAAGGGTGGCAGACAGGGAACAACCTAGCAAAGTCTATCAGATTCCCCTCTGTCCTACTGTTTCTGGGTGGCTGACAAGAATTTGTTTACTCAATGCTTTGTGTGTTTTTTCAATCCTCACCTGAGGATATGTTTTTATTGATTTTTAGAGAGAAGGAGAGGGAGATGGGGGGAGGGAAGGAGAGAAGGAGGAGGGAGGGTGGGGGAGAGAGAGGGAGAGAGGGAGGAAGGGAGGGAGGGAGGGAGAGAGAGGGAGGGAGAGAGAGAGAGAGAGAGAGAGAGAGAGAGAGAGAGATCAGTTGCCTCTTGCACCTGCCCCGACGGACAGGGGATCGAACCCACAACCTAGGTATGTGCCCTGACCGGTATGAGAACCCACAACCTGTTGGTGTTCAGGACAACGCTCCAACTGAGCCACCTGGCCAGGGCTGTTTGCCCAATGTTTTGCTGTGTCTCATCTACCTGTGAATTACCTACCTTCTCTTTCTTCTTAGCTCAAGATTGCATATAAGCCTTAATTGCCTGATTTACCTTCAGCCCTATATTCTTACAGAACCCATGTATGTATGTACATACAGAAAAAGTTTGGTTCTTTTCTCCTATTAATATGTCTCATGTCAATTTAATTATTAGACCAACCAGAAAAACTATAAATAAAAATGGGGGGAAACTTTTCCCTCCCCGACAACTATAGCCAAAGTTCCTTTAGACATTTTAACAATTTATGTTCACTCCGATTGATGTGACTCATGTTATCTTAACAGAAAGGACTTTTAAAAAGTGAAAATGCCATTTCCCCTGTTCCTCCCCTTAATAACCCCTAATTTCAGTTCAAAATCTGATAAGATGTAATAAAGTAGTGATGCAATCAAAACCACAACCATTATACACTATATGGTTCCAAATTTCCTTATATTTAAGTAGGAGTCTTAACTTTTCTTCAATAAATGAAAAAACAAGTAATAATTGTATCATCACAACCATTCTTCTGGGATATTACAACAACTCATAGAATACCTAAGAGAAAGGTATGTTTAGACTTTTGGTGCCCGAAATTCTGTTCTCTACCTCAATCCAATCTCCCTTTTTCACAATCTTCTCTTTCCCCAAATGGAGTCATACTCTTAAATAGGTACTTATGCTATTGCTCATTAGCATGCTGGATACCCTGCTCTTAAATATTAAATAATATACACATTAAAACTGATCATCAGCCCTATCTATAACCCCACTGATGGTAAAGTTCTCTATTTCCTTCACACAGCTCAGCCACCTTACACAAGTAGACACGCATCTGCCTCAGTGACTGGACTGGCATACTCCCCCCGCAGTTCAACATGTCGACTAAACTGCTGCTGCCACCAGATACTTTCACAACACAGATGAGCTTTACCCAGTGTTGGAAGGGAGGATCAGAGAAGTGTGGAAGTAGCTGGCATCCCTGTGATCTGTGTCAGAAAGGGGGACTACTGGTTCAACTTTTTCAGCTGTATTTGCACTGCTTCCACTCTCACAGTCCAGGTACTGAGTGGTCCCAGAGAAGAACGTTAAGTTTATAAAATAGCCTAAGTATAATTTAAACCATCCCAAGCAAAAAGCTGGGACTCAAGATGCCAGTCTAGTCTCTTTTGCCCATGGCCAAAATCTCTAATCAATGAGAACACTGTTTCCTGTTGTGCCCAGACTCCTTCCAAATCCTTCCAATGCAGTGTTCCAGGGACCCACCTCCAATCCAAAATAGTTGGCATCTGAGAAAAAAATCCATTCCCCTCACTGATTCAGAATAGGGAAAATTAAAGGAAAAAAAGTTTCAAGGTAAGTATTCCTGCAATTCTGCATTCGCTTAACTTCACACTCTTCAGGTGATAAATAACAGTAATCACTATATGTGATGAAAAACTAACTCAAAAGCCACAACTGAAAGAAATGGGTTTGAAGTGAGGAAAAAAAACAAAGGTTTAATATAGTTCCCCCCAAAGCCCAGTCTAGTTATCCCTATCTAATGAATCTTTCTATAAAGAATATTTATCTGCCTATTCACATTACCTTAATGAGAAAAAAGGAAAAATAAACGGAGGAGAGGCCTTGGCAGTTCATGATCTTTAGCTGCCACAGATGACCCTCCTCTTATTGGGGTACAGTAGTCACCTCTTATCTATGGGGGATAAAATAGAATAATTATAAAAATATACTCTAGTAAAAGTTGTGTGGATGTGGTCTCTCTCACAATATCTTATTGTGCTGTACTCACCTTTCTTCTTGTGATGATGTGAGATGACAGAGTACCTATGTGATTATGTGATGTGAGGTGAATGACACTGACATTGTGGCACAGCGATAGGCTGCTACTGACCTGATGATATTCCAGAGGAGGATCACTGAGCCATGACAAAGTCATGTCTTCCACCTACAAATGTAATGCCTTTTCCCTCTTAACTAAGTATTCATCACCCACTGAAGCTGTA